CCCTCTTATGCTACACTGCAGTATACTATACCACACACACGCATACACTCCCCAACCCCCACAATCCTCATTTCCTTATGTTTTCTGAAAGAAGAGCTCTGTTTTCCATCAAAAGGTCAAGGGACCAATCTTAAGCAACTCTGGCTTTCCCTTTACCTTCTTATTTCAGAGCTCTGTGCTTTTGCAGTAGTTGAGTGGTGCTGTATCATTGTCCACACCCTCACATTCGTAGTGCAGTATAGTATACTGCAGTGTAGCATGGCCTACATCTTATGTAACATGCCAGTCTAAAATCCAAAAAAATGGGGTTACTAACAGTTAGTGTGAGTTTCTATTTGTGCTTGAACAGCAACATAAAACCATTTCAGTTGTTTATAATTTTGAAACCCACCTTATCAGTACTTGACAGTGGAGTAGAGAAAGTGCTCAGTGAGGGTGTAAAGTGTGTTGAGGATTGGGCAGCATACCCTGCCTCCTCTAATCTATCCAAATAAACACTCTTCCTCCCTCCCCCTGGTTCCAGGGGTTATCACACAAACCCCTCCACTGCTCCCCTGCCCAGACGCTAACAGCAGCCTTTAACACAGCCCAGCCTTCTTTCTGTGCGTCCACATTAAAGGCAACACAGGATACGCTCTCACACACTCACACACACACACACACACACATGCGTATACTCGTAACCACTCACGCATTCAATCATATCTCAAACTGGAGTCGGAGTGAGGAAGCAGAATGTCAGGGAAGGAAGCGCTGAAGCCAGTGGGAAAGCTGAATTTGCCTCAAGTCTGCAGAGCTTTTTTTTCACAGGAGGTCTCAAGGAGAAGTTTGGATTCATAAAAGTGAGCAAATATCTGTGGATATTTTTGGAAATAGGCCAGCACAGAAACGGATTTTAGATTTAGTTTAGTAGAAACTTCGCTCGGGTCCCACTCTCAAGATCTGGATTTTCAAACAGAGAAGACATACATCAGGAGGAAATTCTTGAAATTCTCTTTGTCTCTGACCACTCACCGGTAAAGTCTTTCAAAGTCTCATCATCTGCTGCCACCATAGAGCTGCAGGAGGACACATCCTCAGGTTACAACAAAGTGAGTACAACAAACGATGTCACCATTTCTTTATTTTAATAATCACATGTTGAAAAAAAACGAAAAATGCTAATCCTGCTCCTAACAAAAGGGCTCAGTTTACTTTAATGTCCACAGTACATCGTTCTAAAGAAACATCCTGAATATGTTTCCTCAGTAATGTTATTCCTGTGATTCTGGAGAGTTAGTTTTGATATCTGAAGTTGATCAATCTAAAAGTAAGAAGGCCAGTGTTTGAGCTGCTGCATGATTGAAATGAAAGCAGACTTTGCTATTCTCACAAAAATAGAAAGCACTTCAAAAATGTTCTTCATGTTCTTCAGGCTTGTTGGAGAATCATATAAAAGTATCTGAAAAGAGGAGGAGACCCTTAAAATAAGATCAAATTATTGTTATTGCTATTTATACAATCTAAAAAAACATGACATTAATTCAAAAAACAAAAGAGGGTCTAAAATCATACAATGTGCATGAATCCAGTTTTATTGTAGATTTTCCCTTTATGCAGCATGACAAACAAATGAGCTGACAATGGATCTTATGAATTTAGTGAACTGTAAATATTGCTGAATATTTGAATTTACCTAAATGATGCTGACAGATGATGAAATATTGCTTGTTAAACCCATGTGTTCCATGGTACTTGTCATAATAACAGTAGCTGCTAACACACTCAAGAACAGAGGGAAATGGAACATGCCCATATCATTTTTTCATCACTGAGTTTACAAAATAAAAGTGAAACAAGATGTGGAAATAAAAGCATACACTCTACCATTGATGTGTTAAAAAAAAAGAAAGTTGGAGCACATTATTTGTTCTTTGAAAATGAAAGTTATAACAGGTTTTTTTCTGACACTACCATTAGTGATTAGTGGGATTTTTCAGTTTTGCAGCTGTTCCCGGCTCATTGTTCTGGGTCGTGATTATCCTAGAGTTTGGAGGTGGGGTCAGTGGAGCCCCATTTCCTCACACTTAGAGCTGTGCAGTTATCTGTGTTGGCTTTCCACACCTTTCACAACATTATTTAAGGAACCCATTACTAAATGGATTAACATTCTTTTGACTTTCCATGATTTTAGTGGATGTACTGAAGAATTTAGGGCGTAGAGGGAAGAGAAGGAATTGGTGCAACAGAAAAATGTGCTGATGCATAAAAGACTTTGCACACATCATACCAATATTGTGATATTGTAATTTTCCCCAATTATAAACTTTTAGACCTAACAGCAGGGTGGCATTAAAGCCACCGAAATTAAGAACAATAGCAGATTAATAGATTCAATAATTACATCAAGTTATGACCTAAAACTGTTTTTCTTTCCTGCAGCAGAGACCACAAGGAAAGATGAGTCTGTCACGGAACGGAACGCTGGAAAAGACCGTAACTGAGCAGGGCTCCCCCTCCAGAGTGGGGTCTGGAGTCGTGGTGCCCCCTCCATACTCTCTCGGTGGTAGCGAAGCGCCTGACACCCCTCTGGAGTTAAGGGGCTCTCTGGACTGCTGGGCATGCTCTGTGCTGGTCACTGCACAGAATCTGATCATAGCACTGATCAATGGCGGGCTGGCCAGCGTCATTTTTGGCACCATCCTCACCCCTGCTCTTGTCATGATCGTATTTGGCTTCCTCTGCCACCCCACGGTAACAATCCTCTATGGAAACTTTTTTTTTTTTTTGACTGACAGAAGTGTGAGAGGCTACAGATTGAATGGGTCACACTGTTGCTGTGTCCAAGTCCATACAACATAAATTAAATGTGTCATTTCCTTAGTGCTTTATAGGACAGTAGTGTGTACCCCATCAGCACACTCAAAAATCCTGCATATGTTGTGCGTATTGATTATACTTAATTACTCACTTTTCGCCTGTGAACATACTGAAAAACTAGAGGTTAGTTTTGTGTGCGTGTGTTTGTGTTTGTGTGTGTGTGTGCCTCCCCCATACTTCTTCATTTTTGCATCCGTGCCCCATTACTCATCCGTTTCCTCATCCTCTTGCTCTCCAGGTGCAGCCCCATGGCACATATCTGTATTGCTCAGACATCCTGGATGAAGCCGGCTGCGTGGCTCTGCTGGTTGTGGGATTTCTGCTGCTCACCCCTCTGCTGGTCCTGGCACTTGCTGCCTACTGCCGCCTGGCCCGCCACCTCCAGCTGGGAATGTGTTTCATTCCCTACAGTCGCGCTGTCTACAAGAAC